GTCTGTACACACCCCCAGTGAGCGCAGGTACCTATTGAGTGCGAGTGCCGAGTGCCGAGTGCTAAGTGACTGGGAGGCATGAGTGATTGTGAGGTATACCTGAGTGGAAAGAGGGATTGTGAAGTATGCCCGAGTGGCAACAGTGATTGTGAGGTATGCCCGAGTGGCACGAGTGACTGTGAGGTTTTCCCGAGGGGCTGTATATGAGTGATGTTTTGCCCGAGGGGCTGTTTATGATTTTATCATTTTTGCTCACCTTTGCATTGAGCCTTTGTTTGAAAAACTGTTGGAAAAATATCTTTAAATGATTTTTACTGGAACTGGTTTAAACTAGANTTGGGTTTAAACGAGATGTTTGATTCAAATCCTAATTTTTAAGAGCATGTGGTATTTTATTGAGATTTCCTGATATGAACGTTATATGCTTTATTGTTCGTCATTACTGCTCAGACTTTATTTATTATTGTTACTTACTGAGTTGGCGTACTCACGTTACTCTCTGCACCTTGTGTGCAGATCTAGGTGTAGCTGGACACGGTAGCAGTTATTGAGTGTTCTGATTGCAGATTTTTTTGGAGATAGCAAGGTAGCTGTTTGGCGATCGCAGCTCCTACTCTTCTTCCTCTAGTTGTATTTAGCTATTTTCTAGGCTGAGTTAGCCTTGATATTGTTAGACAGATTGTAGTATATGCTCATGACTAGTGACACCCCGATGTCGGGCTTTTCTTTTCCGCACTTCTGTTTTTCTTTGATTTGAACTCTTTAAATGAATGTTTATGTTAAATAACCTTGAAATTTTCTTTAAAATGAATATATCAGTTTGTTTTGGAAATGAGTCAGTTTTCCTAGTTCCACGATAGGCGCCATCACGACAGGGGTTAGTTTTGGGTTGTCACAATACCCTAAAAGTTCGATTCACAAGAACAAATCCTAAACCCTAAAGTCTAACTAAACTATTCAAGACAATACAAAGTTAATAATTCAATTCTAAATAAACTATTCAAGACAATACAAACTCAAAATTGAAACACTCATCAATTGAAACTAATTCATAACTAATTAACTAATTAACAAAACTAATTAATTAATAAAACTAATTAACAAAACTAATTAAACCCTAGATTTCAATAAAATACAATGTTAAATAATCAATTGAAACACTAATCAATTGAAACTAATTCATAACTAATTAACAAAACCTAGAATTAACAAAGAAATAAGTTGTAATACAAACCTTTAATTTTTAGGAGGTGGAGAAGGAGGCAGCGCGGCAGTGGCAGTGGCAGCGAGAACGACGCGGTGATGGCGGCAACTGGGCGGTGGCGACGTGGGGTGGAGAATGGGATTTGTGTGAGGAAAATAGAGAAGGAGAGGGGAATGTATTGAGTGAGGAGTTAGGGGAAATTTGGAGAAGAAAGGTAAGAGAAATGGGGGAAATCCCGTATTTTAATTCTAATTTCAGAATTATCGACCAAAGTTGGTCGGTAAATTTGGTCGGCATATTAAGTGTTGACTGTTTGACTAAAAACCGACCAACTTTGGTCGGTTGTTTTAAAAAAAAACTAAATTGTTTTTTTTTTGTGTTTTGTTTCTTAAAATATTATAAACTATAAAAAGAATATTATAAACTATAAGCATAATCTTTATAAATAATTATATTAACTATTTATTTTTAACAAATTATAATAGCATTTATTTAAGTAAATTTTCTAAGTTATAATTAAGTATATGAGTAACTTCTCTCTCACACACACATACACTATATCGTAATTGATGCTAATAACTTCTTTTTTCATTCGTTCATCACTAATAATGCATGACATAGATTAATCGATATAGGTCGAGACGTTTTATTTTTACTATTAGTCGATATAGGTCAAACGTTTTATTTTTAATATTCATCGATGCATCTAAGTAAGTTATAAGTCGATGAATCAATTTACAAATAGATATATTTGATGATAAATTATATACACTAATTAGGATCTTCACAAGTCTATGCCTAAAAGAACCCGACCCTGTGGTCCTAGCGATTCGTGTTCTTATATATATACGGCTATACNACTAATTAGGATCTTCACAAGTTTATCCCTAAAAGAACCCGACCATGTGGTCCTAGCGCTTCATATTCTTTTATATATACGGCTATACCTCTATATATACACACACACACACACATTTCATTGTAATACTTTAACTATATATAGAGCTTGTTATAGTATATGTTAGTGTGTGTGTGTGTGTGTGTGTATAACACGCTTCGTTGTACTACTTTAACTATATATATAGCATATTATATATAGTATATGTTAGTGTATTCATTATTTGTATTACAAAAGTGTTAACAGATTACATTTATATTATTTAGATAGTAAATATAAAAGTAATTCAAAAGTTTGACCAATATTGACGTAATAACCGACCAACTTTGGTCGGTTATTTTGCAGAAAATAAAAATGACCGACCAAAGTTGGTCGGTAAATGCTTTCCCTACATTAACCGACCAACGTTGGTCGGTAATTTTAAATATAAATTCTTAAATTTTATAAAATATTTTAAATAATAAAATAATTATTAAAATTTAAAAAATTGGGTCCAGATTACTAACCAACGTTGGTCGGTAATTTTAAATATAAATTCTTAAATTTTATAAAATATTTTAAATAATAAAATAATTATTAAAATTTAAAAAATTGGGTCCAGATTACTAACCAACGTTGGTCGGTAATCCAAAATTTTCTTTGGCTAACCAAGTTGACCAGCTGGGTCAATTTGTTGACCAATTTACCGACCACGTTGGTCGGTATTTATTTTTAAAAAAATGTAAAATATTTTTTTCCAGTTCCGTCCAAGCTAGATGATTTTTGGTCGCTTTTTTTGACCGACCAACTTTGGTTAGAAATTTTTGGTCGGTTTTTAGCGGATTTCTAGTAGTGATATACAGAACAAATTGGATATTAAGGATTCATATATTGCCCACCCGAACTAATTTTCTAGCTACAGAAAGCTAGCTTCCCCATCGAGCATAAGCATTCAGCGATGAGAAAAGAAGTTACTCTTCGTTTTTAGTAGATAAATGCATGCACACATACAGATTAAATTATTAAAAAGCATAAAGATTACAAAACATAAGAGTACGTAACATGCCTCACTTATTTACTACTACTACTACTAAACACTGGAAGTAGAAACAGTAGTGTACATCCATTTGATGAGGCGATAGTTTTTGCATAATTTTAGGGCAACCATTTCTTCAAGGTGCAGCCTCAACAGGACAGGTCATTTTGCCCTCGCGGCAGTATTCCATGCAGCAGTTGAACCTCTTCTCATCTGCATCATTAACAGATAAATCAAACGGGTGAAGAGAGGCATATTAGAGAAAGATCGTTTGACCCTTTTATTCTACTATTAACTAGGTCATGACCTCTTCTTTATCAAGTGCTGCTGCCAACATATTGAAAATGTACTCCCCATGGACTTTACAATTGTGACAGTTAAGGCAAAATTAGGCTTATTGTCAAGCAAATTATATTGCAACATCCAATATTAAATCACAAGATTGTGCGGATAATTGAAAACCTACCTGAAATTATAGAAATGTCGAGCTAGTTTGATTAACAAGCTGATCATAGGGGTTAGGTTGTCGAGAAGGCGAGAACCACTTTCACATGTTGACCCACTAACAACTGCACGTAACATTTTCGTCCTGAAAACTACAATTGTATATCATTTTACCCCAACTTCCTCAGTATAGTTTAGTTGAATTAATTTAGGCTGCTAAATGCTTAATTTTTGGTTTTAATTTAGTTTCCTGGACATCACTTCTTTTTCTTTTATATATTTATATCTTGGCCGGATTGTTTTCACCTTATGATATATTTATTTCACTTGAGAATGCTGATAAACCTCTTTTGCTTCCTTTTCCTACTTATGTCGAACAAGTTTTAGTTGTGGGATTCTTGATTTTATAGCTTTACATCAATCAAATACCATAAATTTAGAAATTCATTTTCATGACAGTTGATGGATATTTAAGATGTGACAAGTGGATGCGGAATGACATTGTTGATACTCGAGAGTCGAAAATATTCTCATGGTTTGATCGATTCATTGGACGTGCAAAGAAACCAGAGGTGACATGGCCTTTCCCGTTTGTGGAGGGTAGGATGTTTATTCTGACTATTCGTGCTGGTATTGATGGCTACCATATCAATGTAGGTGGCCGGCACGTGACGTCATTTCCTTATCGAACTGTAAGCTACTTGCGCTCTTCCAAACAATTTTGCAGGCTTTCTTGGTAGACATGTGAATGTTCTGCTTACTGAGCATGTCTGTAGTGAAGGAGTGCATTTTTAAGACGTTGCACTTGAAATTGACTTGAGACTTAACACATTTTAGAGTCTTGGACTGCGTTCCAGTCATGATCACCATTGAATAGCCACTGCATACATTTTCCTTATACACAAGGGCACATTGGATATCAAACTACTATTCAAATCTTTTACCCATACAAAATGAACGGTAGACACAAACATGTCCTAGTATTTGATCCCTTTTCTGAAACCCTTAACCAGTTTACCGAATTTGTAATCCTTGGAATTAATATGATCACCAGATTTTCTGGAATTAATGTTTTAGTTTCCTCACTCATGTTATTACCCTACTATACTTGTGAGCCTTCAATAAATGTTCCCTATTCTTTCAGGGCTTTACACTGGAAAATGCTACAGGGTTGGCAATCAGAGGTGATGTAGATATAAATTCGGTTTATGCTACATCTCTACCAACCTCTCATCCAAGTTTTTCTCCCCAAAGAGTGTTGGACTTCTCAGAGAAGTGGAAATCTCTTCCTTTGCCCCAGAATCGCATTCAAATTTTTATTGGGGTGCTTTCTGCCACCAATCACTTTGCTGAGCGTATGGCAATCAGGAAAACGTGGATGCAGGCTTCAGCAATTAAAACCTCAGATATAGCAGTCCGCTTCTTTGTTGCATTGGTAAGTCACCCACATCACCAAATAAAAGATAGATTTGGCTCAACTGCATGTTAAGCATAACTGTTGATCCGCCCAAATAAGTTTGGACCTCAAATGCAGTCAAGTATTCCTCGTAATTACAACATTTTAAACTCCAATAAACTTTAATTTCGATGAGCTGATTAATGGAGATTGTCATAGGTTTAAGGAATAAGCTGTTTATTGAACTGCTTTCTTGATAAGTTGATTATTGGAATTAGCGAAACCAGACAAGTGTCTATGAGTTGAAAATCATTAATTTGTTGGATCATCTTTTTTCAGGCCAAATTTGTAAAAAACATGTCTGGAAGTCCATTAATTTTTGTCTAAGTCTCTTTACATATTTGGCCCAAAAAGAAGAAATACACAGTTGGAACAAATAGCCATTGCAGCTAATAAAGAAATTGAAAAACAAAGTTGAAGTAAAGCATGCATGGGATATTAATATAAGAAGTAAGTAGAAATACACAATTGGAACAAATAAATCACTCTCTATGACTATGTGCGAATTAACAGTTGAAAAATACCCTACTTGTCAGCTGATTTTTAAACTTTTATGCACTCCCACGTGCCTAAAAGAGTGTACTTTGTCACATCAGCATCCAGGGGACGAAGGCTATCAAACTGCCAAGTTAAGGGAGGTAATTAGGACAAAAAATATTGCCTGAATAAACGGTACCAAGTTTAGGGAGTCCTGGGGTGATGATCTATGCTGACCTTTCTAGGTGCTGAATCTTAGGTGAAAATGCTAAATGTGGCTAAATATGCAGAAACATTGTTATATTAGTGGTTAACAAGGTCTGGCAGACTACCAGTGATGAATGCCGAAGTTATAGAGAGGGAAAATGTATAGAAAAGAAGAGAACAATGGAGTATCATGGTAGCCCAATTGGTTAACTACCTGAACTTCCACCTTGCTGGTCGGGTTCGATTCTCCACCTTGTAATCCTCTCCCCTCAATGTAAAAAACAAAAAAAGAAAAAAGAAAAGAACATTTATCAAAATGCACTCTTTGGTTAAACTTTACATGTATTCCATATTTTACTAACATGTGCGACTGTAGTGGATTGATTACCCATTCTAGAACATCCAACTTTTTGAATAAAGAAAATAGAATTTGATGAGGGCAATTTTGCTCACCTGATCAGGAGGCACACTTCGTGAATGCTTTTAGAACATTTGATTATATGAATGATTGGTCTGAGTGGCATGATTGTGTTTGTTTACATGCAAAGCATGTTGAGTATTTTACCTCCGTAATTAATGACTTTGTGTGTGACTAACATTGTTTAAAGAGAAGAGCCTATAGAAAACTCAAGTGGAAGCAACGTATGGTGATGCTTAAGCATAAGGGAGAAGAGACAATTTGACATTATCATCTTTGCAAATAGCCAGTTTGGAGTTGAATCCCAATGCATCTGCTTATTTATGTATTAAAATTAACTTTGTAGAATCCACGAAAGGAGTTGAATGCTATATTGAAAAAGGAAGCAGATTACTTTGGGGACATTGTTATTGTCCCCTTTATCGACAGATATGAGCTAGTGGTCCTAAAAACTATTGCCATCTGCGAGTATGAGGTGAGTTCTGCACTTCCGCTCCATCTTCCTCTTCTTTCCTGAACTGCTTAGTCACATCCTAATATCCATCGACATGGCCCACAATATCTGTTGCAGGTTCAGAATGTTACAGCTACATATATCATGAAATGTGACGACGATAATTTCGTGAGGATAGATGCAGTCCTTAGA